TGTTCAACTACTTAGTTATCTTCTTCATTAAATTCAGTCGATTCCCACAGACGGTGCCAATTGTACGGACATAAAAAAAAATACCGTATTTCATGATAAAGAAATCCAACAAAAAAGATGATCAGCACAACCACGCGATCACCATCTATATGACAAAACACCCCCAGTCACAGCTGGGGGCCCTTCGACGCCCAAATCAGTCCTCTAATATTATCAAAATATTTAATGGACTAATTAATAGAGAGAAATCGTGTACCTTAACCCATGGGGGTGTTGCCTATTTATAATATCTAGTGACTTACCTCACAAGTAGTTTGAATGTTCCAGAATCCTATCCCAAACAATCTTCAGTTGTTTAAGACTTCTATATCGATAAGATTTCACATCTTGATGAGTTTTGCATAACGTAAAATACTAATGTAGTGTTTGATAAGAATTTGACAACTGTCATACATGTGATAATCCATAACCATGCCACGTGGCAATGCTTGGACCCATATAATTCTTGTGATTATTTTTATTTCCTCTCAGGACACAATCGAGGCTAGCCACATGGCCCAGAAAGAATATTCTGTCAAAGTGGTTGGTGAATGTGATGTACAGAGGAAAAGACCACTTTGAACTGAACTGGAGTCATGACCGAGCGATCTCGGTTAGCTCGGTAGGGTTGAGCATTTTAGCTCGGCTGTAGAGGCTAATCCCGATTTTGCATTGCAGATGGAATTAAGAAATAATTGAGAGGGTAATTTGTGTAGTCATATTGGGCCAAGCTAGGTGGAAGTGGCTTTAAGGGTTAGGTCGCATGATGGAATGAGCTATGCCTTGGAGAGATCATAGTTTGGGCCGAATAGAGGATTGAACCGGTCAAAGAAGTTTGATCGGATTAGCAAATGCCAACATTCTTGGACCAAGCTACTTCCTAGTGGCAGTCAAAGGTTTGACCGAAGCTATGCAAGAAGTTAGTCAACACTTTGACCATGCAATATGGGAAGGTTGTCAACAGAACTAGAAATGAAGCCTTGACCGAGCTAGGAAAAGAGCCGCACAATGTCAGCATGGTGTGCGCCATGCAAATCTTGCAAGGCGCGGTGTGTTGTACGGCGCTACGTGTTGCACAACTAAGTCAGTGGCGGACAAAGTAGAGTTAGTTCGGTTACTTGGCGGGAAGCCGTGCAAAGAGTTATGACATCTCACTTGGCTTGCAGTGAGGAGGGTGTTAAAGGATAAACATTATCCTTTAGGAATGTGGTTCCTAAGAGGGCTCTACAAATGAGAGTTAGAATCCTATTAGGATTGTGCCATGCAGAACTTACAAAAGCACAAACCAAATCCTGATCTCAGGTATTGCAATTATTATTCCTGAATTCACAGAGCTTTTACCTCTGGAGTCTATTTGTTGACTTAGGGATCGGAAGGGTATCTGGCACACACTTGTTGGCCCACTCACGTTTGTGATTTCATGTATTATGACGATGTTTGGAGGGGCATAAGCTTGATCAACAAGATTACACGAGTGAAGATTATTTCGGGCTCGTACAATTTCTATAATTTGCATTATTCAAATGTTTATTTTATGATGTTATCACCTTTATGATGTTATAAAGTCTACTTTTAAATGTTTATTTTCTATTTTTTCATAATGCTTGCTAATTTATTCTTATTGTAATTTTTTTTTTCCTTCTATGACAAATATATCTACAAATATGTAAAATGGTTACTTCTTATTTGATAAAATCTCTCAATAGAGTACTTGATTTCTTTGGAGACAATTATTATAGTCTAAGTCAATTTTGTGGTGAGAAATGAGGGTTAAGTTTGTTAGGGTCAAAGTATGACGAGGCCGGAACATTATTGTAGATAACATTTTACTTTACTATTGCCCCTGCTAAGCCAAAATTTTGGCTCTGCCACTGGTTAGCACAATTGGCCTGAACTCCTACATCTCATTAGGAGGTCAATAGTTTGAGTCTCTCAATCTATGTGTCATGACCCGAACCCGCCCCTGTGGGTTAAGGACATAACCGACCAGTAATCAAGGGATTACCTACGGCCTCAAACCATTCTAAACATAACTCATCAAAGTAAAGGGGCCAAACGGAAGCAATTTTAAAACTTTATCCTTAGAGTTGTGCTTATATGGCACGTCATAACAATCCATACATATACATGTTAATAACTCACATCAAAATATGTACTAACACAAAGCTCTGTACATACAGGATCATTGAAGTCTAGGTCAGCCAATCCAAACTATATACAATCATAAACCAAAGTCTTCGCCAACATGACAAAATAAAACAAGGTAGCAAAAGGGTGAAGACGAGTCTCGTAAGTGAGACGTAAGGGCTAACTCTTCAAAACCTTGGTTGTTCCACACAAACTTCACTGAGGCCGGGTTTGGACCTCTCTTGGCTCACTTACAAACACATGAATGAGCGTGAGCAAAAGCCCAGTGAATAATATCAAATAAAGAAGATACATTAGAACAATATACATCAGACGGCCTTGGGCCCAATTCATATTTCTATCTAATATATATATAGATCAAGTGACTGCGGTCCCAAACACATCGGACGGCCTTGGGCCCAATCCATTCATGTCAAACTGGCCTTTGGCCCATTTATCTTTCATTCACGTCAAACGGCCTTCGGCCCATCCATTCTCTCATTCATGTCAGACTGGCCTTTGGCCCAACCATTCTTTCATTCATGTCAAACTAGCCTTTGGCCCAACCATTCTTTCATTCACGTCAAACTGCCCTTTGGCCCAACCATTCAAATTAACGAACTTATAAGACTTACATAGAAGTAAGCAATTGGACAAACAACATACTTCAGATATCTTTATTAAGATACTACTCACAGTGATCAGCTGGTGGATTCACCCTTGAGCTTGACCCTACACATCACATAACACATATGGGTCATAAACGATTCAATCCGTTCTTAATTCATATATCCCTCTTAGGCTTCTTTTTTATCCTTTTTATTCATTCATAATGCTCAATGCATGCCTAAGAGTACTTAGAAGTAAAAGAGAACGGAAAACGAAACACAGAACATCTTTACAAAATTTCAGAAACAGGGGTCCCTACTCGAGCGTGGATTTGCCCGCTCGAGCGGACCCATTAAGTCTGCAAAAGTATTGGTTGCCTCGTTTTTACACTCGAGCGTGAACTCAGATGCCCGAGCTAAAAGTCACTCTACATAGCTCCCCACTCGAGCGTGAATCTCCCCACTCGAGCGGACATCATGTCTACAAAATATTCTGGGAGCTCGTATTTTACGCTCGAGTGGCGGTTCCCCCGCTCGAGCAGACGTCATGAATTCTGGGTTTTCCAGAACTTGTTCTTGAGCTCAAATTTGACCTTCAAAGGTCCAAAACCCACAATTCTGGTTTTAAACCATGCAAATACAATATATATCATGAGCATACAAGCAAGATGAGGTCAATTGCTCAAAATCATGGCCCAATTCTTCAAAATAAATCAACATTCCTTTAGTATACTTAAGGCTCATGCATTCAACCCTCATATAAGCTTCATATCTTCCATAATCAAACATGCATGTCAATTTTTGACCTCATTCCATTTCAAATAGCACCAATGATGCTCAAAAACATGAAAATCAACAAAGCCATGCTTGCATGTATGCTTCAATGCTCATTTTCCCACATTCAACTTAATACATGCTTGATTATGCAAAATCATGGTGATCCTATACATGCATGTGCAAATTAACTTCAATTTCACCAATTATAGCACAATTCTTGTTCTAGGTAAGCTATTCCTTTTGAAATCATATGGCTACAAACTCAAACCCATGATTTAAGGGTTGGTTACTCACCTAGGAGCCTTAATCTTCACCAATTCTAGTTGAATCTTGAGTCCAACCTTCCAATTTTCACAAACTTGAGCCAAACACACAATGATGTCTTCCCTCTCTCTCAAAGTCAGCTCTCTCTTCCTCTAGAGAGTTGATCTCAACCAAAATGACTTAAAAGATAAGGAATTAAGTGTATAATGCCCCCTTTATATGAGCTCTCATAAGCACAATTAATTAAGATTAAATAATTGAGCACTACAACACCAATTTAATCTATTTAATTTGATCTGAATCAATTTTCAATTAAATCTCACTGTAGGCTCTAAAAATTACGCTAATCACAATGGTGTAGTCAATTTCGGTTTCTATGGCCGACATGGCCTTCAATTTTCAGTTTATAACAGTAAGTCAAACAGATATTCTTACGGTGAACGGATAGAAATTCAAAATCACATATTTTCACATAAATGGCACACAAAATTATATCAAATACATATTCACATTCATAATAAGAACCAATTAGCATAATACGAAACAGGGTTATCACACTATGTGTGGGGCTTATTCCTTTGGGAGTTTCTTTGTAAAAAGTTTGTTGTATTTGATCTTCATTATTATGATTGTAATTCATTGGGTTTCATTGTAATATCTTATATGAATCAAATCTTAAAGAGCAAAAAAAAAAAGAAGACTTTTTAAGAGCATGAAAAACAAAATTTCAACCACAAATGTTTTTTTCTTCTTAGTAAAAACTAATATACGATACCATCGTATGTCTTGATGATGTAGAATTACAAGAAATGTGAACCAGCATACCAAAAAATGCTTAGTAGCTCAAATTTGTATGTCTGAATGGTTCAAATGTATCAAAATAACATCATTTTACACTTAAAATGATATCATTTTGAGACATTTGGTCCATTTAGATCATGAAAATTCGAGCTACCAAGCATTATTGAAAAAAAAAAGAAGAAAAAAAAGTGACTTGGGTACATGTAAATGCAACCTTAGCTAGGCTCTAGTTTTCTTTGTTGTTGAATAGCCCCTTCATACTTTCTCAATTAACCACAGCTTCAAAAAGTCAAAAGTGTTCAACCACAAGCTCATCTCAAATTTTATGAATTCTCATCTATAAATACCCATTCATCCCAACATCATATACATCAATCACAAAGACAAATGCAACATAACAATATCTAGCAAAGCATGACACTCAAAATGTCTTCCGATTGTACTAAAGGTAAATATTAGCTTTCATAATGAAAAATGCCTTTATTATATGATGTAGAAGCATGGTTTTAATTTTTTTTTTGTATTTTTGTTATTCTCGATATTGATATAAACCCCCCTAATCTCGTTTGGAATAAAAACACTATCCGTATCAATCAATTTGTGACATGTATTGATTCATAATTGATCTATAGTCAGTTCGGTTACTATAAAATTCTTATTTTGTGGTTGATAATTTAAAAAGGCATACGACTTCAACACCTAGAGACGGACCAAGTTAGGACTGGTGGTGCACGCCCCCAAGTTTTTAAAAATTACATGAATGCCTCTATATTTCATGAATATTTGTAAAATGTATAATAGAACTGCTTTGAATTTTTTGAAAATCATTTTACTAGCTCTCTATTTCATTAAGTTTTTTACAATATAATGAGAAGACCTGCAATTATTTGGCATGCTACTTAATAGTAGCATTAATATAATCTAATCGATTTTATTTATATAAGAGATGTATGGTACTTTATATATATATATATATAATAAAAAAATCAAAGATGTATGTATACTTTTTATTAACAAAATGATTCCATCAATAGTTCAAAACTTTAGAATTTTTTTAAATATAAAATAAAATAACCTATTAGATTTGTTTATCCCCCCCTCTTACCCTCTCTAGATATAATTTATTATTCCACCCCTAACAAAAAATGCCGATACGTATTTCTCGAAATATTGATACTATTATGCCGTGACAAATAAAAATATTTTAAAAAATGTGTTTACAAGTTCTTTTATCTATGTAGGTAAGAGTTCATGGCCAGAGCTCGTTGGGACACAAGGAGAAACAGCAGTAACAACAATCGAGAGTGAGAATCCTCTGGTGAATGCCGTGATTGTGCTAGAAGGATCCATTGTTACCCAAGATATTCGCTGCGATAGGGTTCGTGTTTGGGTTGATACAAATGGCATTGTTATAAGCGTACCTGTGATTCGTTAGAAGTTGAACTGTTCGTCTTTTTATTTATTTAAAAAAGAGTACTAATTAGTATGATTACTATGTTATTGTATTTGTAAGGAAGACCATGAAAATAAAAATGGAGTTCATAGTCTCCATGTGTTGTACTAAACAGTTAATAAGAGTGGCTTAATACAGTCAATTATGATGTTTTTTTCCCTCTATTTTTCTCTCCTTCAATTTTATGGTTAGTTGGGGATTTGGATTGAGTAGACCATGATATTGGAACCCTTTTTTGCACTACCAAAAAAAAAAAAAAAACTTAGTACAAATTGAGGGAGAGTTACATGTGCACTACTAAAAATCGGACTTTTTGCGACGGTTTCAAACATCGTAAAAGGTGCACATGCCGTCACAAAAGACTTTTTGCGACGGAGTAGCGACGGGAAATGGGGGGTGACGGAAGGGGACATGACAAAAAGTATTTGCGGCGGTTACAAGCCGTCGCTTTCTTGTAGCAACGGTAAATCAATGATTTTTGCAACGGTTTAACCTAACACAAAAAAAAAGAGTGAAAAAAATATCACTTTTAGTGACGGTTTAGGATGCCATCACAAAAAAAACTTTTTTAGAGACAGTAGTTGACATCGCTAAAAGTGATATTAGCAACGTTCTAAAATAAATGAAATTGGATTTACTAAATTGGGGAAAAATCCTAGGGTAGAGAATTCACCACTAACCACATAATTAGGGTTTCCAATTGAAATTAATTATGCTATGGTTTGAACGAATTAATGCTTCACAACTACAAGCTCAAAGCATTTAACAAGAAGATTATCACATTCAATGTACGAGCACGAACCATCTCAAGCAATACGACTTGTTCACTCTAAACTAGGGTAGTGATACGACTCGTTCCTCGTAGCATGGTTCGTCCCATACCTTGAATGTGAAGGAATAGAAAACTCATGTATGGATAATATTCAACAATCACAGAAAGTCAAATATTCGAAGAGATAATGAAAAATATAATAAAGAAACTTCTAAATCACCATACAAATGTTCAAACCTTTACATAATTTAAAATCAAAAAGAAAACAAAATAATTACATGGCTAGGGTTTCATCAAAACCCTAGAAAAAGAGACTAGCGACTCATAGAGGAGTGGAAGGAGGTAGATGGAGACATCACCACCATGGGAGACATCTTGAAGTTTCTTGTTTCTTCCTCTCTTTTAAACCCTAGTCTCTCTCTTTAGGTCAAAACAATTTCAGAACCCTAATCCAGCCTTTTACTTGCCTTTTTATCCTTCCAATCTCGTCCAAACAGGTTTAAAACGTCGGTTTGACTTTCCTAGAAAAAGTCAACGCATGTGCGGAAAAGTCAACGCACGTGCGGAAAAAGTCAACGCACGTGCGGGAAAGTCAACTCTGCCCAAATTCTGTCTTTTTGCTCATTTTATGCTCCGACGATGTACAACCTTATTGACACTCAACACACATAAAATATACAGTTTGACCAGCAAGTGAAGTTAAGAGATTCTAATTAACGGCCTCAATGATGTACATTTCGGCCTTAATCACATATCCTCGACTCGGTCCCTGAAGTAATAGGCATGGAAATTGATATATGCCATAAGATAATACCTAAGAGTTGAATATTCTCCAACGTTCCCTACTTTACCTCGCATCTGGATGTTGTTATGGTGCATCTTATATTCAAAGTTATTGTGGACTGCATGTCTAAACTTCGCAACTTCTTCTTTGCTCAAGTTCTTCTCACAAAGTGTTTCCTCAATTTTCTCCACCTTAAAATTTAGCTGGTATATAGTATTGGTGAAGTAGTCGCCTTCTACCTCTTCCAAGGATTTAGTCCTATTCGTTATTGGAGCTATAGTACATAAACTCAAATTGTTGTCACTCTAAGTACTCTGCAGGTCCTTCGAATAAAATCCAATAAAATTTTGATGCGCATAAAAACACACATTTGAAGACATTCATAATTTGATATATATGGTATATTTTGTGCCTACTAAGTATTAAACTTATGTAAATCTGAAGAATATGTCTCTTTTGTTGGGCAGTCAATATTGAAGGCATACTTATTTGTCAAATAGGTAGCAAATATTTAGCGGCATACATGTCGAAAACACTAACAATTTTCATAAATTTAATTTCTTACATCCTGAGGGGCAGAAGGGCAGTTTGAAGTATGGGAATGCCTCACTGCAAGAACAAATACACTTTGATTAATTAAAAAGAAGAAGAAGAAGAAGAAGAAGAAGAAGAAGAAGAAGAAGAAGAAGAAGAAGAAGAAGAGATAAAAGCATAAAAGCAAATGATGCCTAAATTTTATTAAGTTGAATGAAGACTTCAAATGGATGTGTATTGAATTGTATGAGTTTAAATTTCCCATCAATTCAGCTGCTACCAAACCACTTTTTCTACATGCAATGAGTTTTGTGTTTTTTAGAATACTTGTCAGCATCGCATATCCAGTAGTTTCCATATGTGGGTGTGGACATATACTTGTCAGGAAGCAGAATAAATAATAAAAAAAATAGTAAAAAATATCAAATTGTTTATACTTAGTTATGTTGAAGGGAGTGAACAAAGGTTGGGCATACCTTTTACCCATTTATTGGTTACTATTATACTAAAGCATGAATTAATCTGATTTTCTTGCTTCTTTTGTATATTGAAATCCAAAATAGTGACGTCTTTTGTTCCTCAATTTGCGAAATACCAATTGTCTTGTTCAATAAATATACATAATTTAAAGGAGCTTCAACTTGTTCCAAATAAAAGCATACACACAGACATACACATGTAGACGCGCCCGTGGGCCTCGCTACTACAGTTCGGACTCGATTTGTGTCACGATTCTTAATCTGAACCAAAGAGTCCAAATCTGGCAAATCGTTTTGAGAAACAGGTTTTTGAAAAGAAGTGCTAAACATGGACTGCTTTGCCAGATACAGAGTCGCCACCTAAATATTTTATTTTGGGGGAATTTAGGAAACCCTGACTTCGTTTGCCTAAGGCCACGTGTCTGTCATCACCAAAGTTGCCTCGGCTCGACAACTTGGGTATGATTGGAGAAGGTCAGCTATGAGCACCCCCTCTCGCCCGATCCGAAGTCGGCCGA